TGCTGCTTGCAAATGGAGACAGTGGTACATCTCCCTCTCTAACCCAAATGCCTTTACTTGGTTTTCTTGTTCAGTTGCCCTGGCAAGAACCTCCAGCACAGTGTTCAAGAGAGGCAGTAAGAACAGACAGCCTTACCTTATCCCTGGCCTTACAGGGAGGTGGACTCTGGGTCCTAATCTACTGCTGGCATTGGACACTGCACAGATGCTGTTTACACAGTGAAGAAGATTGAGTGTTTTTAACTATGAAAGATACTACGTTTTGTCAGAGGCTCTCTCTCTGCATCCTTTGAAATGATCGTTTATTTTTCCTTATTCTGCTAATGTGGGTTGTTGTTTTGTTTTGGAGACAGGGTCTTGCTATGTAGTTTAGGCTGCCCTTGAATTCACCGAGATACTCCTGCATCAGCCTCTGGGCTGGGATTACAAGCATACACCACTATGCCTGGCTGTTAATTTGTATATTGCATTTATTTATTTATTTATTTATTTATTGAGACAGTGTCTTACTTTATATTCTAGGCTGGCCTTGAACTCATTATGTAGTCCAGGTTGGTCTCCAATTCACAGCAGTCCTCCTGCCTCAGCCTCCTGAGTGCAGGGATTACCGACATGCACCACCAGGCCTGGCCTTTTTTTAAAAATTACTATTAAATTTCATTGCTTGTTATAAGTTTAGTCAGTTTGTTTGTTTGTTTGTTTGTTTTTATAATGAATCAGTTTTGGTTATTTGTGTTTTTCTAGGAATTTATGCATTTCAACTAGGTTATCTAATTTTTTTTCTAAGTCAGTGTTTCACTGTGTTGCCCCGGCTGACTGGGCTCAAGCCGTCTTCCTGTCTCAGCCTGATGAGTACTGAGACTAGAGGCACACTCCTCAGGCCCAGCTGGGTTACCTAATTTGTAGGTGCGTGGTTGTTTATAGCATTTCCTTATAACCCTGTTCTGTAATGAGAGTACCAGCATCTTCTCTTTCACTGTGTATGATGGCACAAGGAAGGCTGTGACAGGAGCAGAAGGATTTCCCCAGAGTAGAGTGAGTGCAGGTCTGGAAAGGGGACTACTGTACACTTGAGCCTAGAGCGGCTGCGGGGAGGTGAGGGTGAGCTCTTGGCCATTTGCAAACACACCCTTGCTTGTGAAAGGCAACAGTATCGAGTGTTCTTGTGTTTCTGGGAAAGGCTGAGTTCTGACATCTTGAAATACTGGTTGTCAGGCATATACCCAGGGCCCAAAGCACGAGAAATGTGCTAATGGTTCTACTGTCCATAATGAACGGTGCTTTATTTTGCTATTTTCCCCAGCTTACTACTTATTTTTACTACTTAGTTTAGTAAATTGAGTCTTCTCTTTTTTGTAGGTCATTCTAGCTAAAAAGTGGCCAATTTTGTTAATCATTTCAAAACAATCAACTTTTATTTTTGAAGTTTTCTCTACTTTTCTATTTTCCATTTGTTTAATTTATTTTAACACTGTTCTTCATTATTTCTTTGACCTGTTTGGCTTGGATTTACTGTAGTTTGCTCATCTTCTTCTAGTTTCTTATGGTGAGAGATTAGGTTATTAATTTGAGATGTTTGTTTAATTTCAGACAGGGTCTCACTATGTAATTGAGGCTGGCCTTGAACTCACTATATAGCCCACACTGGCCTTTAACTCACAGCAATGCTCCTGCCTCAGCCTCCCAAGTGCTAGGATTACAGGTGTGTCCCACCATGGCTAGCTCTCATTTACTTTGTAATTTCTTTTTTAGCCTACTACTATTTAGGAATGTTTTCATTTCTGATTTGTGAATATTGCAAATTTCCTATTATTGAGTTCTAATTTCATTCCACTGTTGTTGAAGAACAACCCTGATTTAAATACTTTTGTTGGGGTTTGTTTTATGTCCAAACACATAGTTTATCCTGGAGGATGCTCCATGTGCACTTAAGAAGCGTGGATCCTGCCACTGTTGCAAGGTGTTCTGTGGACGCCTGCTAGGCCTAGTGGGCTTATAATGACGTTTAAGTCTTCTGTTTCTTTGCTGAACTTCTGTCTACTTGTTCTGTCCCTTAGTGAAAGCAGAGTATTGATGTGTCCAGCCATCATTATTGAATTGTCAGTTTCTCCTTCAATTCTGTCAGTTTTTGCTTCATGTATGTCTTGGTTACTTTTTTCATTGCTGGGCCAAAATATCCCACACTCACACGTTAAGGGAGAAAAGGTTTATTTAGCTCACAGCTTGTAGGTTTCAGTCCGCAGTCAGTGGCTCCAAGGCAGGGTGGCATGGCAGAGGGGGATGGCAAAAGAAAAATAGTTCATGGCATGGAGGAAGAAGGCAGGAAGCAGCAAGCAGTAGCAGCAGCAGGCCTGCATTCTCCCTGTCCCTTTATATTCCATCCAGACTATAAACCTATCGACTGGGGCCACCCACACCCAGGACGGAGCTTCCATTATTCACCTCCTTAACCCCAGTATCACACTGTTAATCCATGTTATGGTTTGTGTCTAGATGTCCCCGCAAATCCTCATGCAGACATAGGGGTGGACTTCTAAAGTTTGTGATTGATTTGTGATCCAATCCTGGGATTATGGTGTGAGTGCTATAGCTGCCCTGAGGTGGCTAGGCTGCATACAATATAAGGGAGGGAAAGAGGCTTGTTCTCTCTCCCTTTTTGCCCCTTTTGCTCTTCCCTTTTTGTTCTTGTTGCTTTTGCTGTCTTCCACCACCATGAACTGTTGTCCTTCTGCCGTGCCATCCTGCCTTGGAGCTTGCTGGCTATGGACTGAAACCTTCACAAACTGTGAGCTGAATAAACCTTTCCCTCTCTTTACTTTGGGTGTGAGATGTTTTGTCTCAGCAATGAGAGAAAAGTAACCAAGACAATCCACATTCACACACGCTAATCCAGCCACCTTTGAAACTTCCCAGTTTAACCATGTGAGGCTTTGTCTAGATACAAGCCATAACACTCCACCCCAGCCCCCAAAAGACTCGTACACATCTCTTTATGCAAAAGGTATTTAGCCCATCTCTAAGAGTTGCCAAAGTCCTAACAGTTTCAACATTGCAGAAAAGCCCAAGACCAAGGTTTCCTCTAAGATTTAAGGCAAACTCTCAGCTGCAAGCCCCTGTACAAATGAAAGTTAAACACTTCCAGCATACAATAGCATGAGATGAATATTCCCATTCCAAAAGGTACAAATAGGGGTATGGAGAGGAATTGGAGAGCCAGGCATGGTGACGCATGCCTGTAATCCCAGCACTGAAGAGGCTGAGGCAGGAGGATTGTTGCGAGCTCAAGACCAGCCTGGCCTACAAAGTGAGCTCAAGGCCAGCCTGAACTGCACAGGGAGACCCTGTCTCAAAAAAAAAGAAAAAGAAGAAGAAAGGAATTGGACCAAAGTAAGTCCAAAATCCATCAGGGCAAACATTAAATTCCACAGTTCCATGCCAAGCATCTGAGGTAGTCTGTGGCAAGACGCATACTCCTAAGGGTTTGGATGGCTCTGCCTCTACAGCATTGCTGAGGGTTGTAGCTCCCATGACTTCTCTCTTGGGCTGGCTTTGCTCACTCCTTGCAGTTTTCCTCAGACTGTCCACATTTCTGGATTCTCCAAACTTCTGGAGTCTCCATTGCACCTTCAGTTTCACCCTCACAGCTGTATACACTGTCCTCTCAGGCACACTGCCCGGCCTCCCAGGCTTTCTGAAATCTGTGTGGAAGCCTTCCTGTCCCCACAACTCTTGCATTCTTCATGTACCTAAAACTAGCACTATGTGGATGACACCAGGGTCCGCAGCTAGCTGGAACTGTTGCCAGGCTTCACTCTCTTGATTGTAGGGGTTGAGTGCATGGATTGCCGACCATTATGAACCCAGTCCCAAGATACTACACTTGATCTTAGCCAAAAGGCCGAGAAGCGATAAACCCAGTCCCAAGGGACAAATTCTCTAGGCCAACACCATGCTAGAACATGGTGCTGAGGGGTTCTCTTCTCAAAGCAGAGTTTCACCTTTGTGATTTTGAGGCTGCAAAGGGTGGAACTCTACTGGTTCTTGAAATATCCTCCAGCCATCTTTTCTGTTACCCTGTTTGTTTACAGCCACTAAGTTCTCCTCTGTTCCATCTTTGCAGGCCATAACTTTACTGGAGCTTTTCTTCTGCCCAAACTTAAAACTTTTAAAATCATTTTGCTTGGACCTTTGCTTTTGATTGTCAACATAGATCTGGCTAAAAGTCCCCAACAGTAGCCATGCCACAGCCTCAACATTAGACTGCTTTGAAATTTCTTCCACCAGATAACTTAGTCTGCTGCCCTTAATGTCATTCTCAGGCAAAGTCTCTTAACATGAGCAAAATGGAAACAAAGTTTCTACCAAAGCATAACATATATGGTCTGGATTCCAGTAGCCAATGCAGTCCTTGTTCCTAACTGAAACCTCCTAGCCTATACTTTTTTTTTTTTTTCTTCTGGTACTGGGGATCTAACTCACGACGTTGCACTTACTGGGCAGGTGCTATGCCGCTGAGCTAAATCCCCGGCCCTGAGCCTACACTTTACAGGCTCCACTTCTACCAGCATTCTGGTCTTCTGAGCCCTGAACAGAATCTCCCATCAAGATCAGTTTATAGCATTCCAGGGCTGCTGCTTCTACCAGCAGTTCCAAAGCTTTTCAAAGTCCTCCCACAAGCCGGTTCGAAAGGCTCCTGAACCTTTGGGTCAGGGAGTATCACAGAAATGACCCCACTTCTGGTATCAAAATCTGTCTTAGTTACTTTTTTCATTCCTGAGACAAAATACCTGATACCCATACATTAAGGGAGGAAAGGTTTATTTAGCTCACAGTTTGTGAGGTTTCAGCCCATAGCTGGATCTAAAGGAAGGTGGCAGGGCAAAGGGGCATGGCAGAGGAGAAACAGTTCCTGGCATGACAAGAAGATGGCAGGAAACATCAGGTAACCTTTAGGGCTACTTTTTTAGCTTTTTTTTTCATTATTTTTTATTTTAATGCAGATCCCTGTATCAAGACTGAGGGACACAATCCTGGAACTTGCAGTGTTTGATCAGCACAGAAGAAAGTTTGATAATTTCAGCTCACTAATGCTAGAATGGAAATCTTCCAACGAAACACTAGCCCATTTCAAAGATTATAAATCAATGGAGATGGTAGCCAAAGATGATGGCAGTGGGCAGGCCCGGGCACATGGTAATATGAAAATTACAAACTAATTAATTAATTCTTTCCTTCTTTCTTTCTTTCTTTCTTTTTCTTTTTTTTTTTTTTGGTTTTTTGTTTTGTTTTGTTTTGTTTCCGGTACCGGGAACCGAACTCACGACCTTGCACTTGCCAGGCAGGCGCTTTTGCCGCTGAGCTAAATCCCCAGCCCCCTCTTTCTTTCTTTCTGTCTGTCTGTCTGTCTTTCTCTCTCTCTGTATCTCTCTGCTGGGCATGGTGATGCATGTCTGTGATCCCACCAGGCAGGAGGCTGAGGGAGGAAGACCACTTCGAGTTGCGATCAGCCTGGGCTACAAAATGAATTCAAGGCTAGCCTGAACTGCATAGCAAAAAGACAAGGAAAAATTCAAAAAGACAAAAAAATTCAAAAACTAATTTTTTTTTTGAGACAGGGTCTCACTGTGTAGCCCAGGCTGGCCTCAAACTCATAGTAATCCTGTCTCCACGTCCTGAGTTCTGGGATTGCAGGGCTCTGCCACCATGACCAGCTACAAATCCTTTCTTACACTATGCTTTCTAAATGTTCATACTAAGTATTTCCTTATAGAGGACGATTTTACTTTAGATTTTATTATATATCACCTTTCATCTCTTTTTTTTTTTTTTTCCAGAAAACATACAGGTAGATTTCTTTGTTTGCAAAACTAGGACCTAGGGTCTAACATTTCTCATAAGAATATAAAATTTAAATTAATTTAAAATACGTTGCTTGCCTATTCTCTTAACATTGCGGAAGTATTACTTATTATGGCAAATATTTATTGAGTGACTGCTATATAGAACGCCTTCTGCTAGGCACGGGAACTGTAATGGTGAGGGAGGCAGACACGGCCACACTCCTGCAGATTGATAATGTGTCAGTGGGGAAGCCAGGCTTTAAACATTGTAACTGTGTTGGGTAATGGCACACTCAGGGTGCCTTGCGAGTTTCTAACAGGGGCGCCCAGCCTAGTGGGGAGCGGAGAAGGCAGCATACTTCCGTTGAGACCCGAAGGGGTGGGGTTTGGAGGGACAGCAAGAATGAGTTGGAAAAGATGAGAGTCTGGGTCAGAGAAGGGATAAAGACACCGGCAGGGGCAGCAGGACCCACAACCTCCCCAAAACATGCTAAGACGACAAGCATGTCCCACCACACCACTTCCTTTCCAGCTCTGAACGTCCGTATCACCTCTGCCCTGCATCAGTAGCCGCCTCACACTAACATCTCATCGGGTCTCTCTTCTCCAGTCCATCCTCCATGCTCGTGCCCTGGGTGATCATTCTAAAATACACTTCTGAATCTCTCTCTCTCTGTCTCTCTCCGTCTGTCTCTCTCTGTCTCTCTGTCTCTGTCTCTGTCTCTGTCTCTCTCTCTCTCTTTTGAGACATGGTCTCACTATGTAGCTCAGCCTGGTGTTGAACTCACTATATATAGTGATAAATTGCCCAGGCTGGCCTTGAACTTGCAGAGATCGTCCTGCCTCAGCCTCCTGAGTGCTGGGATTACAGGCATGTGCCATCCCACCCAACCTGAATGGCTCTCTTAACCATTTTTTGTTCCTATCTACTGATTTCTCCTGACTATGTATGAGACCAACTACTGTATACACTTTCACATATAAACTTACCCATTTATCAAACATGTATTTAGTTCTTACTATACCAAGCAGTCTGAGGACCCAAGGTTACCATGGTAAATAGAAACAGTTAGGCATGGTGGCTCACACCTGCAATTCCTGCATTTGGGAGGTTGAGGAAGAATGATCACTATGAATTCAAGGCCAGCCTGGACTATAAATTGCAATCCTGTCACACACAAAAAAAGCAAAATAGAACAACAACCAACAGTGGTAAATAGATGCAGCAGCAAAAGCTCTCTGACAGCAAAGCCTGTGCCGCAGGGCTCCCTGTGTGCTCAGGGTGGGATCCATGTGGTATCAGCCAGCACACCTACCCTCTGCGCTCACTGCCTACATAGTGCCTACATTTTTTCTCACACTCAGCTCTGGGCCCTTCCTCCTGATAGGGCTTCCAGGCCTCTTCCTCTTACACATATCCCGTGTTTTCTTTTCCTCGGACATGCTTTTCTGGCATCTTCACTGGGTTGAACCCTGTCTCTAGAGACTTAGGACTTTTCATTCCCTCCCATCCCCAATATAAAGTAAATATTTGCTGGGAATAGTAGCACATGCAAGTGACCCCAGCGTTTGGAAGGTGGAGAAAGGGGTCATGAGTTTGAGGCCAACCTTAACTGCGTAGTAAGACCCTCAAAAATCAAAATACGGTGCGCGTGGTGGTGCACACCTGTAATCCCAACACTGAGGGAGGCTGAGGCAGGAAGATCACACACTCAGAACTAGGCTGTGCAACTTGGTGACCTACCAAGACCCTATCTCAAAACAAAAACTGAAAAAGGCTGAAGATGTTGCTCAGTGGAAGAGCAACCATGGGTTCAGCCCCCAGTACTGCAAAAACTAACATAAATAAATAAATGGAAGTTTATGTACTCCTCCTTTGTGCTTGTACCTGCTCAGTATCCAGGACACACTTCACAATGGCAGTTACTTCAGTCACCTCTCATTAAACTGAGGTTTTTTGGTTTTTAGTTTTTTGAGACAGGGTCTCAGTGTGCAGTTCAAGCTTTCCTTGAACTCACTATGTAGCCCAGCCTGGCCTCGAACTCTCCTCGATCTCCTGCCTCAGCCTCCGAAGTGCTGAGATTATAGGCGTGAACCTCCACACCTAGCTAAACTGAGTTGTTTTTAAAGTAAGGATTGTTTTATTCCTATACCCTGATTACCTAGGATAGCCCTAATATCTAGAAGGCTGTCAGTAATCTTTGTGGAGTAAATGAGTGAGTGGAGCATAAAGAGAACAGGCTCCAATTAAGGCATGGTCATTGTACATTTAAAAAAAAAATAAGAGTTGACCTAACTAGGGCTGGGGATTTAGCTCAGCGGCACAGCGCCTGCTTGGCAAGCACAAGGTTGTGAGTTCAGTTCCCGGTACCGGGGGAAAAAAAAAAAGAGTTGATCTAACTAAAGGGGAAGATACATGTTTGTTAAATTAGAAAAAAAAAGCCAGATGTGGTGACACACACCTGTAATTTCAGCACTTGGGAGGCTGAGGCAGGAGGATCATTGCAAGTTCCAGGCCAGCCTGGGCTACAAAGTGAGCTCCTGGCCAGCCTGAACTGCATAGCGACACCCTGTCTCAAAAAGACCAACAACAACAACAACAAAAAGAGGCTGGGCAATGTGGCACACACCTGTAATCGCAGGACCTGGGAGGCTGAAGCAGAAGGATTGCTGTGAGTTTGAAGCCATTCTGGGCTATATAGCGAGTTCAAGGCCAGCCTAAACTGCAAAGCAAGATCCTGTCTCAAAAAAAATTTTGAGGGGGGAATTGTGCAGAATTTAGTTTTCTGGAGACCTTTTGTATTGTTATTTTTTCTCAGAGTATTTTCCTGCATGTTTTCAGGTCATCAAATCCTTAAAGTACATCAGATAAAAGGGACTGTATCCATTAGAGTCAATATTGTGGGCTATTCAGAGAAGAAAAGCCCAAAGGTGAGTGAAATCTGAGAGGTAAGAAACATAGTCAAGGACGGGGCCTAGTGGTGCACGCCTGTAATCCCAGCACTCAGGAGGCTGAGGCAGGAGGGTCGTTGCAAGTTTGAGGCTAGCCTGGGCTACAAAGTGAGCTCAAGGCCAGCCTGAACTGCATAATGAGACCTTGTCTCAAAAAGACAGAAAAGAAAGAAAGAAACATAGTCCAACTGGGCATGGTGGCACACACTTGTAACCCCAGCACTTGGGAGCCTGAGGCAGGAAGATTACTGTGAATTTGAGGCCAGCCTGAGCTACATAGTGAGTTCAAGTCCAGACTGAACCACATAGCAATACCCTGTCTCAAAATTTTTAAGTGGGCTGTGTCTATAACTCAGTGCAAAGACCCTGGGTTCAATGCCCAGTACCCCCAAAATTAAACTGCTGGGTGTGGTGGCAAACAACTATAATTCCAGCACTTGGGAGGCTGAAGCAGGAGGATCGCTGTGAGTTCAAGGCCATCCTGGGCTACATAGTAAGTTCAAGGAAAGCTTTAACTGCATAGTAAACCCCTGTATCAAAAAAAAAAAATTGAAATTGAAATTGAAAAGTAAAAAGAGCTGGCAGTGTAACTCTGTAGTCAAGTGCCCTTGGGTTCAATCACCAGTGCCTGCCTAAATAAATAATTTTTTTCTTTTTGTTTTTTTTTGAGACAAGGTCTTGCTATGTATATGTATTTCAGGCTGGCCTTGAACTCATTATATAGCCCATGCTGGCCTTTATCTCACAATGATCCTCCTGCCTCAGCTTCCGAAGTGCTGGGATTATAGGTGTGCACGACCATGCCTCACAAGGATCTTCTTTAAAAGTTGTTTATAAGTAATGTAACTCTGAGAACCCGCCCCTCTATGCTTGTTAGTTTTGGCACTTGAGTGAGTACAGGAACTTCTCCCACTGTGCTGAGGACTTAGAAGCTTATGTTCACCTCTGTGGGTTTCACTGCATTGCTAGAACATTGCCAGCGCGCCCAGATCTGCAGCTGTGGAGCTGCTCCTGGTGGATGACGTGGCTGTGTTGCCGGAGAACGCTACCATCTACAACCACCCTGACGTGCAGGTAGACTCTTCGTGGATAGTTAAGTGCAATCATATTAGAGAGAGGACTTTGTATTTCACAGTATAACAATAAACAAGGGGGCTGGGGATTTAGCTCAGCGGCACAGCGCCTGCCTGGCAAGCGCAAGGTTGTGAGTTCGGTTCCCGGTACCAGAAAAAAACCAAAAACAAAAACAAACAAACAAACAAAAAAACAATAAACAAACTGATGTGTTTGAAAAAATCAGATATATATCCCTATATATATAGAGAGAGATATCACAAATATGTGTAACAGTCAGCTATAGTACTCTTTTCTTTTAGCTGTTGTATTCTCTTATTTTAGCTATAGTATTCTTAAGAGTTACACTTTATTAGTCATTTTGGTTTTGTCCATGGACCTTAATCTTTAATATCATGCCATTTCTAGACAGAAGCTTTTCCTTTGGTCTGTTCGTAAGCTGAAGGGAATGTGATGTTGCTGGTCTGCTTTTCCCATAGGAGACATTCAGCCTGGTGGAAGGGTCTGGTTACTTTTCAGTCAGCAGCCGCGAGCAGGGCATTGCCAGCATCACTTACACAGAAGCAGAGAACTCTGTGCAGGTGAGCGGCGGAGGTGTTCCAGATTGATGGTCTCAGGCCAAAGCTCCTTCTTAGGAGAAAGAGTAGAAAAATTCTGTTTTGTGTAAAAACTTGGTACGGAAGTAACATTTGAGCCCAGCCTGGGCAACTTAGTAACTTCGTGAGAACCTGTCACTAAATGAAAAATGAAAACATGAAAAAGATTGGCTCTGTGGGTCAGCATGAAGTCTCCAGGTTAATCCTCACACCACACAGAAAGTCACACTGGCCTCGCGTTCCATCTTCCGCCTGCACGGATCCTTCAGCCAGATCTGAGGGGTTCCCTACAGCTGGCTGCAGTACTGGGCGGGTTTCTCCTGTTGCACTAATATAGGAGACATGTAATTAAAAGATTTCCACCTAAAGGTTCATTTTTATAAATTTCAAAACACATAACTGGGCCGGGGATATAGCTCACTGGCACACGCGCCTACCTAGCAAGCACAAGGTCCTGAGTTTGATTCCCAGTAGCAAAAAAAAAAAAAAACAAAAGACAAACAAAACACATAACTGTGTCAGTGTTTCTGGGTGTGGTAGTACACGCCTGTAATCCCAGCACTTGGGAGGCTGAGGCAGGAGGATCACTATGAGTTCAAGGTCAGCCTAGGCTACAGAGTGAGTTCAAGGCCAGCCTGAACTACATAAAAAGACCCTGTCTAAAAAAAAAAAAGTATGTGCTCACTTCAGCAGCACATATATTAAAAAAATAAAATAAAATACTAGCATATAGGAGGCTAAGGCAAGTTTATGATTTGAAAATGCTGGGCTATATAGTAAGTCCAAGTCCAGCCTTTTCTGTACACAGTGAGACTCTGTCTCAAAACTAAACAAGCCAGGCATGGTGGCAAATACCTGTAATCCCAGCACTTGGGAGGCTGAAGCAGGAGGATCTCCATGAGTTTAAGTCCAGCCTGAACTATATAGTGAGACCCTAACTCAAAAAACTAACAAGAAAAGCCATACATAAGACAGAAGTTATGTGTGTGTGTGTATGTGTGTGTGTGGACTGAATTCCCCTTAAATTCAATCAATTTAAACACTGTTCTTTATCAGTTAATATTTGTTAAGGTGTTTATTTTTCCATAAACTGAAACATTATTTTCAGGCTGCATACAATGCTAAGCCTGCACCATGTAACCTGACCTCTGAGAGTTCCCCTCTCAGAAGGAGTAAGATGTATGTTCTGCTTCAGATGAAAGCAGTTGCTATGATTATGCCTGGAGCACATTTTCTTCTTTATCAGCTGCCATCTTCCTTGTAGCTAGTTCCTGTACAGCCTGGATCTCTCACCTTGGAAGTCTACGATCTGTGCCTGGCTTTCTCTGGTCCAGCAAAAGCCCATCTCAGGGTATCAGACATACAAGAGCTGGAGCTTGATCTGATCGATAAGGTGAGAGACATTGCCTGCACCTCAGAAGGGAAGCCAGCTTCCTTCTCATTCCCCAGCGTCACTGACTGTATCTCAGCTCGACTACTGTGTGTGTACGCCCCGGGCTTTTGGTAAGTTAGTGGGAGAACTTCCCTTAAAGAACAGCATTCCAGTATTATACATGATGAAGGTAAAGATAAGTGTTAAAGGACTATTGAAAGCTGGGTGGTTGTGCATGCCTATAATCCCAGCTACTCAAGAGGCTGAGGCAAGAAGATCTCAAATTCAAGGGCAGCCTGGGAAATTTAGTGAGATGCTGTCTCAAAATTTAAAAAATAAGGCTCAAGGGGGCTGGGGATTTAGCTCCCAGTACCGGAAGAAAACCAAAAAACCAAAAGAAAAAAATAAAAAATAAGGCTCAAGCCAGGGAGTGGTGATGTGTACCTGTAATCCCAGCACTTGGAAGGCTAAAGCAAGAGGATCACCACAGTTTGAGGCCAGTTTGGACTACACAGTGGTTTCAAAGCCAGCCTAAATCATTGCCAGGCATGGTGGTACACACCTATAATCCCAGCACTCGGGAGGCTGAGGCAGGAGGATTGCTGTGAGTTCAAGACCAGTCTGGGCTACAAAATGAGTTCAAGGCCAGCCTAAACATAGCAAGACCCTGTCTCAAAAAAAAAAAAAAAAGCAACAACAACAACAAAAACCCAAAGCCAGCTTAAATTACATGGTGAGACCCTGTCTCAAAAAACTATAAATAAGGCCAGGTGTAGTGCTGCACTTGGGAGGTTGAGGCAGAAGGATCACTGCAACTTCGAGGCCAGCCTGGGCTACACAATGAGCTCAAGGCCAGCCTGAGCTCCATGGCGAGACCCTGTCTCAAAAAGACCAAAAATAAATAAATAAATAAATAAATAAATAAAACTGTAAATAAATAAAGGCTAGAGGTGTAACTGAATGGGTGAAGCATCCTGGGTTTGACTCCTGGTACTAAGAAAACACACAAAAAACTATTTAAAATACACCGTACACATAGATTAGGTGCATTTGATCAAAGGCTAATCAGGAACATTAGCATGAATGAAAAAGTTTGCTGCCTGCAAGGAGCGAGACTGCCCTTAGCAAGTGAGATTCACTGTTACAGTCCGTCTCCTTTTCTTTGTTTGTTCTTCACACTGGCCAGGTTGAGATAGGCAAAACTGTTTCCGTGACAGTGAGGGTGCTCGACTCTTCTAAACACCCGTTCCAGAGTAAATACTTCAGACACATGGAGCTCAAGCTGCAGACTGCCTCGGCCATCGTCACTCTGACGTGAGTACCATGTCAGTGCTGCTTCCGTCCTGTGCCTCGGAGCGTGCAGCTGTTCCTCCTGGTGGCCTGGTCAGGTCTCCTCAGCTTATTTCAGATTCTCCCCTGCTCTCTGTTACAAGAGCTTTTACGCACACTCCCTTCCCATCTTCAGCTCTCCCCAGGACGCACACCTCATGTCCCGAGCTGTCTTGGTTCGGGGCCAAATCACGTGTGTCATTACTATGTTTATTACTGGAGTTTCTCCTGGGAGGAGCCCTTTGGGGAGTGCTGCCAGCCAGAGGACCTTTGGAAGTCTATTGAGAAGCAGAGGTACTGGTGTTCTGCTTTGAGAAAGGAAAAATGCAAGAATTCCCATATTGCCAGTCGGGGCTTTTACCACCCTCCTTCCTTTATTGTCAGAGGACAAGTTTTCCCCAGGGAGCTTCCTGTCATTATCATGACACTGGCCTTGGCTCTTTCCCTCTAACAAGAGTTAAAGGAACGGAAATGGTGTCTCCAGGAGATGCCCCACCAGCCACTCTCCTCACCAAGTCTTTCTCACCTAAACCACATTGGCCCTTGCAGACTAATGGAGGAACAGGATGAGTACTCTGAAAACTACGTTCTTCGGGCCATCACCATCGGGCAAACCACACTCGTGGCTACCGCCAGAGACAAGATGGGGAGGAAAGTCACATCAGCCCCTCGGCACATTGAAGTAAGGAAATGGCTCCGTTCAGAATTTGCTCTTTGACTTATTTGTTCATCCCTTTATGTCTAGTTTGCACAAGTTTAAAAATCACTGAGCCGGTTGTGGTGGCACAGGCCTGTAATCCCAGCTCTCTGGAGGCTGAGGCAGGAGGATCACCAGGCATTCGAGGCCAGCCTGGGCTACATAATGAGTTCAAGGCCAGCCTGCACTACATAGTGACACCCTATCTCAAGACAAAGCTAAATAAAACAAATCATAATTTCAATGGTCCCTTTTTCTCTAGTGAGTTGATGTAGTAATTATTTTTAAATTTTTTTTACCATTGTATATAAAATAAAGATACATATGTTTGTGTAACTTCTTTGCACACAATTAGGGGTTTCCGTAGAAACTAATGCCTCTCGGGGCTGGGGATTTAGCTCAGTGGCACAGCACCTGCCTGGCAAGTGCGAGGTCGTGAGCTCGATTCCCGGTACCGGAAAAAAACCAAAAAAAAAAAAAAAAAAGAAACTAATGCCTCTCATTAATCATGCATGTCTTTTGGTTTTCCCCTTTAAGGTGTTCCCTCCGTTCAGACTTGTTCCAGAGAAGATGACACTGACTCCAGCTAACATGATGCAGGTGATCATGGGAGTAAAAAGATAACGCACACCTTTTCTCTATAAACACACAAATGCACACGCACGCACATGCACACACATACATACACACACACACACACACACGCGCGCGCGCGCGCGCACGCACACGCGCACCTCTTCCTCTGGCCTCCCCTGCCTACTCCCAGTCGCACCCATCCGGATCGGAGAAAGGAGGCTTGCCCTGACCTGCGAGCCCCTGGCAGGAGCTGCCCCGGGAACGCCGGGAATTCTGCGGAGCAGCTGCAGCACCGCATTTGCTCCATTCTGGCGTCCACGTGGGGCGGGGTGTTCAGGAAGCAGGGGCGATGATGAAGAAGTCAGTTGGTTGCTTGCACAAAATGTTTTCCCCGACATCCCAGGCGCCTGCTGTGTGTTTCAATCCTAGGTGATGTGTGAAGGCGGCCCCCAGCCCCAGTCTATCATTCTCTTCTCCAGCAGTAATCAGACCGTGGCTGTCGTTAGTAGGAGGGGCCAAGTGACAGGGAGAGCGGTTGGCACGGCGGTGGTCCACGGCACCATCCAGACCGTAAATGAAGATACTGGCAAGGTCATCGTGTTTTCCCAGGTATCAGTTCTGCACTGTGCTCTGCTTCTGCTCTTCCCTTTGGAAACCACACTGGGGACTTAGGGAGGAGGAAGAGGGGCGGGGGAGGGGGACAGTGTCAGCAGTCCAGGAAAACCCTTTTAGGAAGAAGGAAATCTTTAGTAGCTAGATGTGGTGGGCATTCCTATAGTCCCAGCCCTCAGGAGGCTGAGGCAGGAAGACTGCCTCAAGTTGGAGGCTGGCCTGGGCTACATAGTGAGGTCAAGGCCAGTCTGAACTGAATAACAATACCCCGCTGCAGAAAAAAAAAAAATCACCAGACATGATGGTGCATGCCTGTAATCCTAGCACTTGGGAGGCTGAGGCAGAAGTACTTCTATGAGTTCAAGGATCACCAAACTAGTTCGAGGGCAGCCTGGGCTTCATAATGAGTTCAAGACCAGCCTGAATTACAAAGTGAGACCCTGTCTCAAAACAAAACAAAACAAAATCTGTAGTGAAAAACCCAGAGTAGTTGGCAGTGTTATAAGACATCATCCCTATTCTTAAGGAATTCTTTTAAAACAAAAGCAAAAAAAAGAACAGGAAAAAGCCGGGCATGGTGGTGCACACCTGTAATACTAGCACTTGGGAGGCTGAGGCAGGAGGATCTCAATAAGTTAGAAACCAGCTGGGGCTACATAGTGAGTTCAAGGCCAGCCTGAACTACATAGTGAGACCCTGTCTCAAAAATAAATAAATAAATAAAAAATAAAAGCAAACCTATCCCTTGTGTGAGATTCTTTGCTGAATGCCAAAAACAGCACAATAGTTGTCACAGCATCTCTGTCCACCCCACAGAACTGCCTTCTAGCCTAAGTTTGCTCTGTACCCTGTCGAGCAGGATGAAGTGCAGATTGAAGTTGTTCGGCTAAGGTCTGTTCGGATCGTTACAGCTACAACGCGACTCATCACAGCCACTGAGGTCAGTACAAGGCTCCGTTCAGGTCTGTGGTTCTGATAGTGCTGGGTGCAAAGGTCAGACAGCATAATACCACTTTTTTTTTTTTTCGGTATTGGGAATTGGACTCACGACCTCGCGCTTGCCAGGCAGGTGCTGTGCCACTGAGCTGTATCCCCAGCCTCACAATACCTCTTACTCTCTTCAGATGCCAGTGTATGTCACCGGAGTGACCAGTACACAGAGCCCTTTCTCCTTCAGCAATGCCAGCCCTGGGCTTACATTCCACTGGTCCCTGAGCAAAAGGGATGTGCTGGATCTAGTGCCCAGGCATGCGGAGGTAGGAATTTATCTGTTCATTATATGACCCTGATGCTAAATGTGTTTCATCACAAGTTTTTTTTTTTTTGTCTTTCTGAGAGAGGGTCTCACTATGCAGTTCAGGCTGGCCTTGAGTTCACTTTGTAGCCCAGGCTTTTCTCAGACTTGCAACAATCCTCCTGTACAGCCTCCCAAGTGCTGGGATTACAGGTGTGTGCCACTATGCTGGGCCAGTGATTGACTTATTTTCCAAACAATATGGTGTAGCCAGGCGTGGTGGTGCATGCCTGTAATCCCAGCACTCGGGAGGCTGAGGCAGGAGGATCATTTTGAGTTCGAGACCAGCCTGGGCTACAAAGTGAGCTCAAGGTCAGCCTGAACTGCATAGTGAGACCTTGTCTCGAAAAGACAAAAATAAATAAATAAATAAATAAATAAATAAATAAATAAAATAAACATTATGGTGTTTTCCCCTAAACTACACAATAGTATTGAATCCTTTTCCTTGTCCTTTGACCTCTGGAAACCTGAAAATCACATGAAGAATTCAAATTTGAGTACTCAAATGATACTATATGATTTTTAATATTTTTTGCTGGAAAGAGCTCTCAAAAGCCACCTTTAATATATTTCTGTATAATGTTACATTTTGAGCTGACGACTGCTGTGTGGGTCACACATTACGAAGTACAGAATTTAGGTACAGAGTTTGGCATGTTGAGGCGCGTGTTCAGTCGTTCACAGCCATGCCTGCCCTGCATGATGGGTACAGCCATCGGCAGTAAGGAAGACAGCTCTGGACGGCTCTGGAGGGCACCACAGCATGGCAAGCCCTGGCGGCCCTCCTAGGACTGGGGACAGAGCAGCCTCCCATAGCGGGGGGGGGGGGGTGTACTGTGGTGCCATGGGGCTGCCATGGCCACGGCTGGGCAGCTGACTTTGGACGGGGTCCCTTAAGTCAGCGGCAGACTTTAGAAGGGTGATGGGTTACAGTGGCCTCCATGGCTCCCTTCTGTGCCTGGTGGTGGTCGCTGCCCCAGTTCAGCTCCTGCTGTGTCTGGAACCACGAAAACCCTTGGGATGGGCTTTGCAGAAATCCACCAATGCAATTAAGATTTTTTGTTTTTGAAAATAGGCTTGATGTTTTCATGCACATAACATCAAACCTCAAAAAAATAAAAATAGAGCCTGGTGTAGCGGCACACACCTGTAATCTCAGCACTTGGGGGACTGAGACAGGAGGACCACTGCAAGTTCAAGGCCAAACTGGGCTACATAGTAAATTCAATGCCAGCCTCAACTACATAGTGAGAACCTATTTCAAAACTACAAAAAATGCCGGGCCTGGTGGTGCACCCCTGTAATCCCAGCACTTGGGAGGCTGAGGCAGGAGGATTGTTGCAAGTTTGAGACCAGCCTGGGCTACAAAGTAAGCTCAAGGCCAGCCTGAACTGCATAGGGAAACCCTGTCTCAAAAAGACCAAAACACACACATACACACACACACACAGAAAATAGGTGATGTTTTTCTGTAAAAAACAGCTACAATACAAATCAGATTGTTACCTGATCATCAGTTTGCTGGAACTCACATAGGGTGGTCTGAGGATGGGACAGTCACCTTGGTCTGGGCTCTGCATTAGCAAGAACTATCCACACTAGTTATCACCATTCAGTATCGATAAGAATAACAAATCAAGCCAGGCATGGTGGCACACGCCTGTAATCCCAGCGCTTGGGAGGCTGAAGCAGGAGGATCTTTGTGAGTTCGAGGCCAGCCTGAATTGCATAGCAAGACCCTGTCTCAAAAAGACAAAAAAAAAAGTCAGAGTTGGACTTCAGGAAGGAAAAAGAGAGACTACAGGAATTAGAATTAGGAGAATGTTTCTGGAGCCACCTAAGAAGAAAAGAGTAGAAATCTGGAAAAAGTAAAAACATCTATTTATAATCTTCCTAAATATACCCTAAATTTATAACTGAAGGAAACTGTTGGCCAGATCGTCCGTCTGTCAGGCACTCCCCCGGGCCTGGTTATACCTGGAATTGAAGAGGATGGAACTGCACTTCACTGGCAGTAATTCAACACTGCTCTTCAGTCACAAATAGGAGTTTTGTGGAAGTAGGGAATGGCCTTACCCTCTGTTCTATTTCCCCCTTGCTTTCCTTTTCTTATTTAAAGCTCTACTTTTTCTTTTTTTCTAGTGAGACAGAGTCTTGCTATGTAGTTTAGACAAGTCTTGAACTCATGAGCAGCCTCCTGCCACAGCCTCCCAAGTGTTGGGATTATAGGTATGCACCACCAAGCCCAGCTAAAGCAACACTCTTTTCTTTAGCAAAAGAAATGATTGAGAGCCAAAGGAAAGCTGTCTTTTCCCTGCTTCCGATGCAGCGTAGCAAACTGGATGATGGAATGGGCAGCGGGAAGGTGACCATGCCCCACCAAGAGGATGGCCCACACTGCAGAAATACTGTTTCGTAGAGAGTCATTTCGATCAAACTATTATAAACCACTCGTTCTTTAGTATGGACTTTCTTCTAGACAGCTGATTGAGGTCTGCACAAAGGAAATGGGAGATTTATGGGGAGGAAGAAAAGGTGATTTTAGAGGTTGAGTCAAGAGAGCTTCTGGAGGCCAAGCAGGCAGGGGAGACAGGAAGTGAAATAGTGCTGAAAAGGTAGGCAGGTGCCTGTCAGTATATCTCTCCCTTAGTGTTGGCCCTCTCTTCTTATTACCGGAAGTCTGTGTGTCTAACCCTCCCTAGCCAATCCAGACTGGAATGTCGAGTAAGGCACGAGAAGAGATAGCCAGTGTTAGCCTAAAGTAAGAGCCTCCCTAATAAATAAATAGGAAAATCAGCCAGGTGTGGTGGTGCACACCTGTAATCCCAGCACTTGGAGGCTGAAGCAGGAAGAACACTACAAGCCTGCGGCCAGCCTGGGCTACATAGTTCAAGGCTAGCCTGAAGTACATAGTGAGACCCTGTCTACAAACAAACAAAGAACCTCTCTTTTTTTAACCTCACCCTTACTTCCATTACCCCAAACTCTATGAGTTGTTTGCTTTATTCGTCTCCATTCTCAAATTAAACTATGAACCCATTTTTAAAAGCACTTCTATTGTTTCCACTTTTCTCCTATCAATGAATTGACTCTGAGGTAACATACAAAGAATTCTAGATGCTTCCCATGGTTAGCTGGACATTGCCAGCGGGTGTTCACTTTTGTGATGACCAGACTGCCAGGAAGAAGAACGTACTGTGAAAACAAGCTCTTGTACTCCGGCTAGTTCTTCCAGATAGCTATTTCCAACATACATTCCTTTCAGTTACAAGGAAGGACGCAGTTTGTTTTTTTTTTTTTTTTTT